TCTCCTCCAGGAAAGAGGCAGTTCTGTTCTTTTTGTTTAGCCCTGTTTATTTTCTTGTGTCAAATCAAGTTCCTTGTTTACAGTAGAATGATTTCAGAAAAAAAATAATAAATGAGACAGAGCAGCTCTGTGCACCTGGGTGGGCAGGTTGTTACACAGGCTGTATCATCTGGCAGATCATCGAGCATTTAGAAGGTGACTGATTATTTGTTTTCAAGTGACACACAGACAATAAAAAGTACAGGAAAGAATTGAACTTTCATCAAAACCCATGCAACCTTCAGTTGCCATAACTGAATCTATAGTAATACATATTTCAAGAGCACAGCAAACAAGGGTTACCAGACAGAAGCAGAAAACTGGAATGAGTGTAAGAGGCGTGTATGTACTCAGTTTTTTCTTCTCACATTGTAAAATACAATAGTTAGATAGCACCTTTTGGTAAAAATCAAGGGCAGCCACACTCCCCTCTATATTACAGTTCACATATGAGACAGTTCTTCAGCTGAATCAGACTAAGAGACAGAACCTGAAAGCGACCTGCCTTCAAAAAAGTTTCTTTTTAACGTTTTTCATGATTCACTTGGTGTCATTAAAATATCTGTATGTTGGGTTCACTGTGTCTGGAGTTCATCAAAGTTTCCTGCACCATCATCTCAGCACCAGGCTCTTATTAAGGAAAGTGTACTGCACTCATTGGACAAAAAAATCTGTGCAGAGAGTTACAGAAGAGGTGAAATGAGAAGCAGAATTCTTACCAGCTGCACAGTGAACCTGATGCTCTAGCAGTGAAAATTCCAGTTGGCATGGCTGTTCAGAAAAATAGGACCAATGTATTTGCTATAACTGGCTAGCACACTCTGAATGTCCTAGTTTTCTAGGATGTTTCTCTCAACTCTTTAACTGTTGGTACAAGAAAAAAAATCATTAAAAAATTAGAGTATTAAGATTTGAACATTTTAAAGGATTAGGAAGTTGCTGACTTTTAGAAGTAAAAAAGTTAAAAAAAAACCCCAAACAAATTCTTGCAAGAAAGGGAAACTCCCACATTTTTCTGTGTATTTCTTCATGACATATTTGTTGTTATTACATCATTATCCATTACGCATCTGAAGAACACGGGAGGGAGAAGGATGCGTCTTGGGGTATGACTACAGACCCACACCCTTTTCTTTCTTAGATTGCACAGAAAGTGTTCTCTCCCCAGCCTTGTCAGCCCTGAGTTCAGAGGCTGGGCTGGGCACAGCCTATTTTAATTTCATATACTTGCTACATGATAGCCAGTCAAAAGAGCCCTGCATTCCCCTTCTGAGAATTAGAGCAACATGTATAGGAAGAACATATGTGTAAGCACATAAATACGGCAAACATATGCATCATGTTACATACATACACGTGTGCACAACATAACTCATACAAATGTGTGCATATGTATGTATGCAACTCCATGGCTACACTTTGGAGAGCAAGAATGGCTTTCTGAAAAAAAAAAAAGATTAGTTTAGAGTCTCTAAGCCTTTCCACAGCAGGCAACTCCACACTCACTGCCACGGATGCCGATGGGTTTGTACCTCAGGAAAGAGAGCTATTGTAACTGTGCTGTAGCCCACATTTGCCGCTCACATAAATTGGAATCGCTCCATTTGAAGTCAATGGAGCTGCCTCAATTTGCGCAAGCAGAAGAGCTGGCCAAGTATGTACCAGTTACTTTACATTCTGAGAAGACAATGTTCATAATTGAAAGTAATACCAAATGCTCTTAGCAAAAACTATGAATGATTCAGATTAAATATAGAGCCTTCAAATGACTCTATAAAATGTTCGAAACAGCTGTGCCTTGTAATTGGAACTGACTGGCAAACTGGAAAGTATTGAATGTAGTCTGAATTTGACTTGGTATCTGAGCAAAATGAGTATCACACTAACGATATTCTGGAGCCTGGCTGGGGTTATGCTTGGTCTTCCACTAATGCTGGTTTCTTTTCAGGCCTTTTGGGGTTACGCTTTGTCTTCTACTAATGCTGGTTTCTTTTCAGGCCTTTTCTTCTTTGCAGCTGCAGTAATCTAAAGTGAAGCAAAACATGTAGCTCCATTTGTGAGGGATTAGGTTTGCATGTTCATCGACAGGTACAACTCACAGAGCATGAATAAAGAAGACGATGAAAACAGGTGTTGGGGAATGAACAGTCTGGAGTAGAATCGGTGGTTTTCCACAATTATTGACACTTCAGTTCCTGAAATAAAGTAGTCTTTGCTTTGCAGCTCTAACTTTATTTTGTAAAAGCTAAACAGGCTCCATAGTGGAAATCGACTTACAAACGACTCTGTGTCTGTGGCTATTTGTCAAGGACCTGGCTATTTAATTCAGAACAAATACGTCCCATCTTCAGAGGCTTGTATACCTTGTTTATATGACAGCTGTTTGAAGACTAAGTGTCATTGTCTGAAATGGAATTTTTGGGTATCCGAAGTGTGAGGTTCTTATTCAAAAGGAAAGAGAAAAGCAGAAAGTGATCAGCATTTCCTGAAGACCGGATCCTCTAAAACATTTGAAAATGGGAGGCAAAACTTTGAGGCTACTCATTGACCAGCTTAGAAAATCTTGTCATAAAGGAGATAATTTCTTGGTTTCCTAATTTGTGTCCTAGTGTTGGCTTTTACACACCATATTCTATGTCTGTAGTATAGATACATATACTTTTTATTCATATATATAAGGCTAACTCTTAAACATTTTGTTGTTAGCTTCAGCTTGATTCCTTAGGACAAGCTCCTTCACCTTGATTCCTTAGGACAAGCTCTTTCACCTCGAAATATGTTGAAGCTCTGTTACAGAAGAGCCTATGTGGTAGGCTGTATTAAAAAGGAATGGAACGAATAACTGAGTGTCTGTGGTGGTGCTTTTAACATGGCTTGTGACTGCAGACAGAACTGCAGAATGGAGAATGTTCTCCTTCTAGAGAAGAAAAGGCTTGGGAGCATCTTGTCACTGTATATAGATACCTGAAGGGATGATGTAAAGAAGATGGAGCCAAGGTCTTTTCAGGGGTGCCCAGTGACACAACAAGAGTCCTCAGGCACAAACTGAAACACAGAAGGTTCTGTCTGAACCTAAGGAAACACTGTTTTACTATGGGGGTGACTGATCACTGGCAGAGGTGGCCCAGAGAGGTTGTGGAGTCTCCACTCCATCCTCTCAGATATTCAGAAGCAACCTGGACGTGGTCCTGACCTACTGGCTGTAGGTGGCCCTGTCTGAACATGGAGGTGGGACAAGATAAACCCCAAAGTTCCCTTCCAGCCCCAACCATTCTGCGAATCTGTGAGGCTGCAACGGTAGGTTTGAAGTGCTCCGCACCACTTCTAATGAATGACTGCAACATTACCTGTTAGCAATTTGATGTTGTGTGTGTTTGTAAGAGGGTTTTTTTGACAATCACAGTATCCTAGGACATTTTCCCCCAGGTCATCAAAATATGTGGCTGCTCAGTCACAAAGCTTTTAGTTTAGACATTATTCCAGCAACTCAGAGTAAATGTCACACTCTGCTGAAGACATACTCCCATTCTTCTGTGAGAACACTGTGTAAGGCAAATAACTTAACAACATGAAAAACAATGAAGCAAAACTGACAGCAGTATGGTGCACTTATTTTTTTTCATATTTTAACACTACAACTGCTTCCTACAAGCCAAGGTAAATGGTGGGCAGTTTGGAAGATGTGTATTCTGATTTGTTTTAGGAAACAAACAGACATAAGGGAAGATTAATAATGAAAGAGCTAATGCATCCCTTGGGGAAGACATACCTTCTGTTATTTAATTTGACACATTTTCCTGAAATGTCCCTTATTCCACACACTTCCAGAAGCTTCTGACTACAGACCTGTGGGCAGGGTGTGAACAACACATTGCATCACTTTATTACTTACAGTATCTACAGAGGGCCAATTTATCTGGCCAAATTTTCAGAATTTATAGGATTTTCAAAAGTATAAATAAAAATAAAAGTGCAGAAATTTAGAGAGAACTTAATATATTGAAATTTATGTGTGACTGATACCATGTTTTTTCAAAATTGTTTGAGGTTCCCATTGACATATTTGGGTATCCAAAACCTTTCAGTGCTTGATTTTCTCTCTTTCGCCACAGTTTTGCAATGGTTTCTATGGTGTTGTATCAATATAAGAAATTGAAAGTTAAATCTTGGTAATTTTAACTGAATTGTATTCCTTATTTGTAAAATAATCACATTACTGAGACTACTGTTGTGTGCAGCAAATGCATATAGGACCATATAATCAACATCTAATTAGCCCCACTTCATGTTATATTTGCTTAATGTTAACTTTCTTAGAGCTGTAATTTTTTCCTTTAACCATTATAGCAGTTGAATTTTAATTACATTACCAACAAAAAGCTCATTAACGTCACATAATTGGCAGCGTTTCCAAAAAAACCTGAACTAATTGAGTATTTTCTGAAGAGTTCCCATCAAAGTATAATTTAACCATTACAAACAGCTTGGCAACTACATTTACATAAAGATGTGTCTGAGGAATGTTCTCATGTGTGGAAAATCAAATCTGATATTGCCATTAACAAAACGAAGGAAGCTGTTACATCGCAAATCACTTCCACATTTTAATGATTTTGGCTAAACCCCACATTTTTGTCAAGATGGTCAAATGAGACCCCTTGCTTTTCCACAAAGAAGCAGCAACCAATCTCTGACTGAGAGCTGGGAAGCAGCTTGCTTTGTGGGAAGGCTACTCCACAGTCTTTAACAGGTTGTTTTGTACTCTCACAGTCTAATAGCAGAGATGAGACACTGTGTTAGACAGACCATGGTTCTTGTGTAGTAGGTTTCTTAAACATATGACCAGAGAATCATTTAATCTGCAGTGGATTTCTTGCCATTTACCTTGTTTGTATTCTTGTATTATGACAGGGCTGATTTAATTACTAATCAAAAGAATAAAAGTATTCCACTCATTGTCAGCCTCTAGAATTTTTTTGAAGACTCTCTAAAATGGTTTAACTGGAAACAAAGCAAAGGAAGCCTGCATAATCCTTTGATCCTTCCCCTCCAGTCTGGGATGAATGACACTGAGATTAATTCGAATGCTGAGGTGATTATTAGAGATTTGGAACAGGCTAATATGGCTCATGTATTCTGAACACAGAAAAAACAGTGAGATAAAATAGGTACCACGGACATCCTGCTTTCATATTTAAATCTGAACACTGAGAGTTTTGCAGAGTTACAGTTTCAAATAAGAGCTGAATAAAATCTGAACATAGCATTCAACATTCTCGATAGTTATCCAAACTTCAGCTTTAAATATTGTGTGTTCCTATTCCTGCTTGGATTCTTCCCAAGAAATTGGAAAGAATGGGGTTTGTTAGGATGCTAATTAGGTACTTGCACTGCTTTCTTTGTTCTTTCCTATTTTACAGTTGTAGTTAACAAATGCAAGCATATTCATCTGGCAGCGTGCCTTTGAAACGGACCCCCTATCTTTGGATCGCACTATGTAAGTCTAAGCAAGATGGCAATAAATGCACATGGCATTGTACATTCTGATTTTATTTTTTCTATCAAATAGGTGTTAAATGTGCCAAAAATGTATTAGCATAACATTTGCTAATATCCAAAACCAACAGTGGATGTAAACATCAAGTTTAAACAAAGTTCCTCTTCGCAATTCACCTGAAAACTGTATAACCTGGCTACTGTTATCATCGCATTCTCCCAGAGATGTGTCAGATGCCTTAGCCTACTTATTCCGACAAATTAAAACACCGTTTCAGGAAGTGTGTCATATGTGTATAGAGATGTTTGCTGGAAAGGCCTGGAATTCCATGGTTCTGGTCAGTATACCACTGGAAAAGAGAAAAAAAGTACCATAAAGCCCCTATGTTATATCTTCAATTCTGCAATAGTTAAACAATAAAAGAACTTTATTTTATTACCACAGAGAAGAAAGTGGATGCCTCAGGAAAACAGAGGGACTTGCTAATTTTTTTTTCTTTTTGTCAGTTCCCAGCATGTTCACATTCTTGCCAAAAAAAAAAAAAGTTTCTAAACCTTCTGTAATCTACAAGCACGCATTACTGCCTCAGTACTGACAAGTCAGTTGTATCAAGTCAGGCAAAAAGAGCTTTGAGATGATGCCCTCAGGGAAGAAACGCCCCTGACCTGCTGCACGGCCTTAGCAATAGGGGTCACAGTCTTGCGTAGGGATACCAGGTTCTAAGCAACAAGCTTTCAGCTAAATGTTGTGGAATTCTATTCAAAACATCCCACATTACAGCCGGATACAACTGCATACAGTATTCCAGATACTTCAGAAATAACCTGGGTTTGCTAAATATCATTGAAGGAGGCAGAAAATCTGGAATACACAAGAAGGCCTACAAACCTCAAGTACAGGGGCATGTGTGATCCTTTCGGAGAGCTCAGGGCCCCAGAAAACTAGGCTCAGAAGAAGACCAGTACATTCAATAGGCAGGCAAACACTTTGGTCATTAGTCCCAACTAAAAAGGTGCAGAAGCAGAGCTTAGCACGTAATTCAGAAGTACTTTTCCCCTGTTCATTCCTTGTTTATATCTTTTAACTTCTTGCCTATGCGTTTTGTTCTGCCTGCACCTGCCACCCCAAGCATGTTTTGTGGAGAACTTGTTTTAATTCTCATCCCGGATATACTGTTTGGATACCTTACACCCTTTTTGCTTCTTTCACCTCGTGCCTGAGGCAGGCATGACCAGTTCAAGATAGAATCCATTTGAACCAGTAATGGTTTGGGCCCCAGAAACCAGCTCCTTCATTTTCCTCTCTTATTCTAGCTATCAGCAACTTTCATAAGGAGGCCAGATTCTCATTCTTCTCCTTGGCTCATTTTAAAAGTCTTTAAGTTATTTCTGACAGAAGAGAAAACCTGCCTGTATCCAAAGGGCAAGAAGGGAAAAAAAAGCATTTGAGGAAGAAATAGTCTATGAAGAGTAACAAATGCACTAGCAATTGCCAGATTTTGAAGCATGTTCAGCTGAATTGGGTTCTTAAAAACATTGCCAAATGTCAGCTTACTGATAAAGCTATAAACCACTGCTCAAAATAAAAAGTAGTCTGTTATTTACCATTGCCTGGAAATCCACCTGTGCATTAACCAGAGCTTTTGCAATTTGTGCTGAGTTCTGAAAATGTACGTTATCTGAAAAAGGCAAAAAGAGAGATTGGCTGTTGAAACATGTAAATACCACAAAGCATAAAGTTATAGTGCATTAAGTTGTGTCCACTAATTATCAAGTGATAGCGTTGACATTACCAAGAATGAGTAAGCATCTTATAATATGTCATATGGAAAACTACCAAAGAAAGATCTAAGTACTGACCCTAATCAAAGGCATAGAAAGATGCTTAATGTTTTTCAAACAAAGTGATTCTGGGTCTGTATTTGTACTGCCATTTGCAAACCTCACCATCTGCTGTTCCATGGATGAGAAGATACTCCACGTTTTGGAAATTCTTTGCTCTTGACATCACAGTTGAATTCTGTTGAGAGGAAAAACGAACAGTTCAGCAGCTTCAATTTAAGCCACTCAGTCACAGAGCTGAAAGGCTTTCATTACCTAGTAGAACAACAATCAAATACTTAGACTGGCATAATAATGATAGCAGTGACTTCATATCAGTCTGAAATTATAATAGAAGCCATGTATATTTAGTGCCTTTTCTCAGGGTCAGTTCATGAAAAGCACAAGCCACATATCATTCCCGTAACACTGTAATTCCTGGCTACCCAGACAGCTCTGCCAGGGCAGTTCAGCTTTGAGCATTTCTGTTCTTTGAAGTCTGGGAGTCTTTCCACTAACTTCTCTGGGCGTTAATTCAGGCCTCTCTGTATCCAGAGCTGGTACATGTGCTGCTAGCGAAAGCTACAGGCTTCCTACCAATATGAAGAAAAGAGGGAAGGCAACCTGTTCCATGTAGAGGAAGCTGTTCTGACCATTTAGGATACTTACGACGTTATTATCAGAGAGCTGCATGAAGCAGTTTGCATATCACAGCTAACACTACCAACCAAAACCTTAACAACATCAACATTTTAGCCTCACTCACATGAGTTCTTTCCTAGGCTAATGGTTTGCGTTGACTTGTCCAAGTGAGAAAATAAGGCTCCTTCAATTTAACCTATTTAAGATTGATAAATACAAACCCACAAGCAACTATGGAGAGAGGAATTTCACAGCAGTAGCTTAGCTGCCTCAGGACTGCCACTATGAGAACTGACAGGTCATTTTCTTTCTTCACAGTTCTACTTGTCCACGGAAGTGTGATTCAAGTTTAAGGCAGCTCAACACAGAAAGAGTATTCTCACCTTGTAGTGCTCAAGATTATCAGACTCTACAGGAAGACCCATAAATCGTTCTGTGTAGATAGATGCTGCGATATTAAAGAAGAGAAAAGGTATAGTTAAACAATGTACAGATATTTTTGTGCCTTTAGTGACACATTGCAAATAAAATGTTTAACTGTATCTGCTCTGCCTTTTTCCTCATAATACACCAAATTTAAAACATCCTTTAAAAATATTTAAAAAAATACTTTAATCAATGCCACCCAAGCCATCCTTGCAGAAATACCGTTTTTTCCATCTGTAGAATGAACAGAAGGTTTTGTGGATAAAGGTAGCTGATACTGCTTTATACTATTGGGTTGAACTCCAGAAGTCAGTTGACTGAATCAATAAGCCAATAAAGGAGCATGGTGGAAAGATGACCCAGACTATTTTTGACACTGAAGCTGAGCAGAATTCCAACCTCTGATGCCTATGTGTATATACAATAAATATGGAGAGATATAGATATATATATATATAGTTACTTTGCTTTTGAATGGATACATGCAGCAATTAGGGGGAGCAGGAAATGATACAGGTTTGTACTGAAAAAATGCTGCAACTGCCGTTCAGGTCTCTGTTCAATTCCTTTTCCTAACTGCAATAAAGACCGTTAACAGATTTGATAAAATAAATGTGAATAACTGATCACCAAAAAATCAGTAGGAACTGCTATCTTTGAGCTGCCTGGGTATTTGTAATTTAACTAAGAGCTGTTATGAAAATTTGTGAAAAACTGACGTAGCAGCTGTCACTACCAGAACATTACTTCCTTTATGACCTTGCCTTGAAAGAGTAACTGACACATATTGAGCAGTCAAGCTGCAGTATTACAAGAATTTTATTTATTTAACAAAGTCAGGGTGTTCTGACGAAGAGCTGGCATCTTTCCCTCCCATAAGAGAGGAGATGGCTATTGTAATCAGTAAGGAGCTGAGATTGTCTAAATTGTCCAGTTTGGTATTCTGCATTAGAATAATTTTGTTAAAAAAGTAGAAATGGGAATCCCCCCAGGAAAGGAAGACGACTCAGTAGGCTCATGCTCTCATGGTTTATTATGTATCCTTTACATATGTTACCACAGAGTGCTAAAGATGTGTACTATGTCTCCCAGATCAGCCAAGTAAAGCTTCTGGAGATAATTTGTAATAAGTACCAAAAAAAATCCAAGTATCCTATCTTCTATCAAAATTCTTTATCATGCAATGAAAACAGAAAATGTGCAATATCTGTTGTCAACACAGTGTCAAACAACCATATTGGGCTTCAGTTTTCAATAAAATAGACTCTTTCTGAATGGCTGGCATTTCTACAGTATTCTGAGCCAAATTCTCCACTCTCTTGTACCAGTATAGCTACAACAAGTCCACAGAGGTCGGCAGGATTGCATTAGAATGACTAAGTGGAAGATTCAGCTTGTCAATTACTGAGGAAGAAAAGGGAGATAAATGGTGAATTTTAATCAAACAGTTAGAGATTGAAGGCTTTTAACTATACATTGTCCTCAAATGCAGTTTCCCGTGCTATCTTGTGACTGTTCATCTATTACTAACTCTGACGTGAAATGGAGGTGAAAAGATCATGGTCCAGATTCTAACCTGTGCATTTAGACTAGGACAGAAATTAGAAGCTCTAGGGGACACCACATACTCTGGCACACTGATACAACTTAGAAGTATGCAGCATCCTGTAGTTTTGACCGTAACACAGTTCACCCTAATGTTAACACGATCTGCTTGCCAAAAATTTATGACTCACAGTTTACGTTTCCTTCCTTCCTTCCTTCCTTAGTGGAGTTACATTGGCCTGTTTGGATTTTACAATGTGTTTTTAGCAAGATTCTTTAATTCCCTCCTGAAAATTCAACTAAATTAAAGATTGCAATTGTGCCAGTCTAATCTACTCAAACTTCATTCAATTTCTAATGCTTGGAAAATGTTTATAACTCTTCTATTGGAGGACTTCTGCAAAAATAGTGATTTATGCCTGCATTCTGGAAATAATTTTGCTATCATCATAAGTGAAAATGTCTTAAAAAAATCTTGATGCCAGTGAAAACACGAAGACTATGCTTCCTGTGTCATACAAATGTTTTCCCCTTTGTTTGCAAAACACCATAAATACAAGAAATGTCTGTACTAGCAGTCAGGGAAGGAATCTTTCCCATTTAACCAAAAAATTTTCTCATAACCAAGACTTCTTAGCAAACGACCATATGCTAAGTAAATGTGTTCAAAGTGCTACATTTTGCTCATTGCAAACACGCATGCCATGATTCTTTTTTACACTAAGGTTCCTTTACACCGTGCCAAAAGCTTAACAGGTCTGCAAGTATGAGTATGTGCCTGCTTTATTTACACAGTAAGGCCCTGGGAGTATACTCCCGGAGTTGTTTCCTCTGAACAGTTTGGAGCCTAAGTCAATAAACATAAATAAAAATATGTCTCATAACACAACAACACAGGAGGTGTGGCTGAGAAACATTTAAAGGGGAAAAATATGTAATTAAAAAAAAAAATGATCAGACACAACTGAGTCCCTCTCTTTTCCACAGCTTTTTTGAAATAACTTTGCAATCATCAGAGGTACTGATTCGTGACAGAGATCATCTGCAGTATCTGAAATTGAGGTGCACTGTGATTCCATTACTGGCAGAAAAATAATTATTTCAGCTGTTTCTGAATGCACTGACATTGTTTTAACAGGAGTTTTATGGAGATTGTAGGGAGATCTTTCCTGAGCATAGCAGTGTATCAAGAAGGCTTTATACACTTACTGTTACAGATGTGCATAGGGAATTATCTGGGCATACCTTCTTTCTTGTGACAAAGTCTGTTCCAAACTGCCAGCTGAAGTCAGTTATTTTCAGCAAGGAAAACATTAAAGTCTAAAGAGTTTTATGTCTATGTAATTGCAGTAACTATAAGTTTCATATAGCTAGTCTCCTGCAATGACTTCATTTAGAAAGTCATTAAACACTACATCTTGCTCTCCAAGTCAGTATTTATGACAAGTTTCCATACCATAATACTCCCAGCTGGAAACAGGAGCCACGGCCATTCCACATTTAAATACTCCACTGCCAGATCCAAGTGCCAAAGAAGTTACATACCCACCATAGGACTAGGGAGAAATCAAAGACAGTTTAAAATTATTGGTGAAGCATCGTTTTGTTTTCTGAAACAAACTCATAAAAAATGAATTCAAAAGTAAGTATTTTGCTCTGAATATATGGAGGACAAAGCAACAAAAACTTTGAATCTTTTTTAAAAAAAGTTATTTATTTCAAATGAATCTGATGGGATTTGTGTGACAAAGATTAGACATTTTATTGAATCACTTCTTTTTTGCTACTTCTTCAATGCTTATCATAGGATACTTTTCTTATTACCACTTAGAATCACAGGAAAATTTAAGTTGGTCGTGTTCTTCAAAGTAACCTAGTTCAGCCTCTATCTCAAAACAGCGTGGACTTCAGAATTAAATGAGGTCGATTGGAGCCACAGCCACATTACGCAACCTCTCTACTCAATCCGTTTCAATACTGATCACTCTTGTCATAAAACTTTTTTTCCCTAAAAACCTAAGCAAAACTTCCCTCTGGGAACTTGTGTTCATTGCCTCTCATCCTTCCAGTGTGCACCTCCAAGAAGAGTTACAGGTTTTTCCCTCACTAAACAAACTTCCTAGCTTTTGCTAATGATTAACCAATCCCATCATCATTCCTAAGAGGCTCAGCTGCCTGAGAAGGTGAGGTTGGAGCAATTCCTCCCTATGGTCTGCCACTGTTCCTGCTATTTTCTGGCCTGATTCCTCAAACTGGGAACCAGTGAACAAGAGTAAGTTCACAGTGGGAAGTTAGGCAAAGTAGTAAGTAAGCCTGGATATCACAACAGGTCTGTGCAAATGTGTGGAGTTGGCTGCTCATGGAATGACAGTGAGGGATGTGTTAGTGGAAACAACAATTCATACAATTTTTCCAGCTCAACTGATTGGCTCATTTGATCTTTTAAAAATCAGTCTGCAAGGCTAAAAAGTAAACGATTAGGATCAGGCAGATAAATCTATGCACTTTAATGGGCAGAAAGATAGAATTCAAAACCTGAATTGCTTTAGTGGTTATTAAAGAGCTTTTGTCATCCAGAAGAGTTTGGTGAGTCTCAAAGTACAATGAGCTGCATAGTTCATGCATACCCGCCAAGCTGCAGGCTATGAATAAGGAAACACCTTTCAACTCCTTTCAGAGGCTATGGACCAGGAAATGCTACAACAAATAGAAAAAAATGGAAAAAAAAGACTGACAGGTTTGGTAATAGTGCCATTATTTGAATATCATATTTGTTACTGGGATACAATGCTTCAGATACGTGAAATCTCTGAACTCGTTCTGGAAACACTGCAGTAAAATAAACTATGATGTGATTAAAAAAACCAAAATATTTTCATAAGGCCTTAACTTACTTAATGTCATTTTAGAATTACTCACTTTTAAGTGTCTGTGTCACTAATTTCACCATATGGTACCCCATTTTATCCTGGTGTTATAGCGGTGTCTGACCAAACTAATTTAAATATTAGTTGGTAGAAGCTTCATAGAAAGATTTTTAGCAACCCTGCTCATGTGCTATCTAAGTTCAGTCAACTTACATCGTTACAGTTGAACTGAATCTTACAAGATTCATCCTCTAGTGTGTTTCTGGGCACTCTCTCACAATGAAACTGGGCCAAGGAAAACAAACAAAAACCAACACAAAATAAACAAATGAACAGTGACAAATCAGAAGAACTCTCCTAGCAAGGCCAGGCAGTTAAAAAGAATGAAATAAAAGGTCTTTCTGAATGACAGTCAGAGGAAAATGAATGTGACTAAAGAGAAAAATATTGGAAAATGTTAACAAGCGGCTAATATATCAATATATTCTACAAACACTTTCAGTTAGTGCTGCCTGGTACTGCTAGGTAGTTGACACCGATTTACTCAGAGGTGGAGTAAGGGTGGCTAACACAGGGCTGGCCCTCAACCCCCTTTAGCATTCCTTACAGCACTCAGGTGTGCTTTATCAGCTCGTTCCCCTGCGCAGAAAAATTCTGTTACGCTGAAGCTGCTGATTCTGGGTAGGAGGCAGGGTTCCAGTTCTGTTTAATCATGCTTGATCCAGCCACTCATGATGAACATAACTAATGGAGTCAGATGACCTCAATGTCTTAAAAATCTCCATAAAGGGGCTGTGTGGCATTTCTGCTGCCACTGAAGTCGGTTTCAGTTCTCCCCATAACACCACCAATAGGTCTGCACCCCATTTCATGAATGGTCCTACTTTGCAGCTGACAGCATGACAAAAAAAGAACCTGAATTATTCCAATAATTTATTTTTCTCCTATCAGAATGCAGTGGGTAATTATTTGGAATGACTCCTATACTGTCCGATTTTTCCACTTCTTGGTGAAGCCGCTACTGTTGTGCACCCTTTGGCCCCACACTCATCCTTACTGACCATTTCAACGCCATCCAAGTACAGAGGAATTCAGAATGATGCAAGGGTCACATTTTCTGATATGATATGTTCATAGGACTTCCCTCACCATTTTAATCTCACGTAAGAAAGAACAATACTTGAATTTTGACACCATGCCAGTAAGTCCATAATTTAAAGGTAAAGCCAACTAAAATGTCTCATTGTTGCTTAACTTCAAGTCGAAACAATACATTAGACATAAGCTTTTCAAAAATCCCACCTGAGCTGCCAAAGATCACTTTCTGGGGGCTTGCACTGTTGCCAATGCACGTGTATAGGCACCAACAGGAAATATCCCCTGTGGCAATACCATCAAACACTGGTAGAAAAAACTTTATACAGATTTAGGACAGAATAAGGAAGAATTAAAAAAAATATACTGCAGGATTATTTAGATTAAAATTATTTTAGATTAAAAAAGTCCCGTATCACTTACCCAACCCCATATTGCTACTCGTTTCTCATCAATAAAACCCATTTCTATAAATTTCCTGTGGAAAAGAAAACGACAGAAATAAATGCATTACTACAAAAGATTTCTAATATAATACAACAATTATTAGATACTATCTGGGTGGGACAGAATTAGGAAAGCCAAACAATGATTTGGTTTTGTTATATTGCTGTCTTAATCCCTGGGTTCCTCCTACAGTAAAAGCTCCTCCAAGAATTTCCCGCTAGAGTATAGGATCCTCGCTAAAAAGCATGCGTCTTAAACCATGGGTTAGATCAGGAACATGGAATGCAATACATTTAACTGAATAAAAATTTAGTCTAGGTGCTGACAGAACACTGGGAAGTGAGAAGTCTGAGGTCATTTCTTCACAGCCTGTCTCAGCAGATTTTGCAACTGCAGAATCAGTTTAGGTTCTCTCTGTCTCTGACATTTTATGTCTGAGTGACGATTCAGAGTAATAAAAAACCATTCTCTCTCACGGTATTTAAAAGTATGCCAGTGCTGCTAAAAGTTTCAAGAATAAAAAACTGAATACTAGATTAATAGAAAAACTTGACCCAATATCCAGCTAGTCTCTTTCATTTATCACTGAAAGGATAACGGTGTGCTTAAATCATTGAGGAGAAAAAGAATTATCACAAAGCAGAACGAGGAAGGAACACACTTGTAAATACAGACAGTGTTCTCAAACGAGTAGAGAAAGCTGTGGAAACGTGGACTGCTACATCTGATTTCTAGCGAAGCTACTCAAGAGTCAGGTCTGTTACTGGGGGAAAGCTGGTATTTACTGTTGCAACTGGAAATCTATCCATGCTCTGATGGGCCAAATTCCAAACTAAAGGCTGGACTCAATTCCTTATTCCTGCCTTGTATTCATCTCTGTGGGGTTCGAACTAACACTTTAGCAGTGCTACTGCATCTGTACCCTAACGGGCAGCCTTTCTTTGTAAAACCTCAGCTCTCACTCCCTCCCCAAACCTCTGCTTAGGGAATTATTTTCTCTTGGAACACATTAAGTGTTTCAGCGGAAAGGAGAAACTGTTGGGACACAACTACCAGAGGACCTCAGACACCTTCTGTTGTTTACAACCATCCTAAAATAGCACAGAAGAAAAGTTTATGCCTAAACAATCTCTAGAAAGCTTGTGCCAGGATCCAGTTTTGCTACATACTTCACATTTGAGCTTTTGCCAATCACTGTGGTACATCAGTAGCAATCTTTGGCTAACAAGTCACTAGGATGGGTTTTCCCTATGGGGAAAACTTCAGAATCATGGATAATACCTTTGCTTACCTCTCACCCCTGATATTTCCTTAGGCCTAGGCCTGAAGCCTCTGATGATGCACCTTTAAAATGCAACTGGTGAGGCCCAAATGTGGACTTAGTAGTACATGGACTTAATACACCACACAAAACCTCACTGACATCACGTATCCTAGTAATATTTTACTAGTACAAGTCATTTTCTCTTATTTCCTGGAGATCTCAGCTCTCCAGAAGAAAGGCTGAGAAGTATATTTAATATTTTTTCACACTATTTCTTGTAGGTGTGTAAGTACAACAGCTATGCAGAGAGAGATGCTACTTACTTTACTGCTGAGATTTGGTCCTCAACTTCATAGACTCCCAGTCTTCGATACACTGCATGCAAAATCTTGTCACCTTTATAAGCTGTCCCTCTGCCATCCACCAGAGCAACAACAACTCCCTCTTTGCTTGCAAGATAGGTTATCCAGCTAATGCTAAATGTTTCCTTTACATTCTGACTGCAAGGTCCTCCATACCTGAGGATGAAAATTCACACATTTTCAACTCATATTTATAAATTTATAAATGATTACCAGACACTGGATTACAGCTATAGATACTTCTTACGTTTTCTCCACAAGTAACTTGCTACATGGCCGTGGTTCAGAGAGCTCAGCAGATAAACAGTTCAACCACCATTTTCCTATGTTTCTGAGACTTAGGTAACTAAAATATATTTTAATCCTTCAAGTCTTATATCTAAGGCAAATCATTAGTTTTAGCTCAGACTAAGGGGTGCAGCATTGGAGTCTTGTCATAAAGGGAATTCTTGGAGGAGTAACGATGCCTCAAAGACTCAATTGTTTGGCCAAATTCCTTAGATCTTAACTGCCCCTTTTAGTGCTTTTCTGCAGGAAAAATAGGAGAAAAAACCGTAGAGCTCCTTCCACTTTGTGGGCATCCCCGGACCTTCTTTGTTGCAGTGGGGTATATCATGTGCTGTTGGAACGGCGGGCAGCACACACCCCACGGAGCTGAGCAATACCGAGGGACAGTCCTCACGAGAACGGCCTGATGCAAATTACACATTTGACCTCAGGGACACATCTGACTTCATCTTCTGCTCCCAACTTCATTCGAACACACTTAGCATTCTCGGACCTTTGGATCATCACTGGTTAATAACAAATTGTGTAAGGTTTATTACACCTACTCAGCTCTCCGTCTCTAGTTTTTTTTGCACCATTGCAATTTTTGTTGCCTTTCCAGCCTGCAATAAATTAAAGTCATGTTAAATGCTCTTTAGAATGGACATTTGATCAAAGAAGCCAGTCCCCATGGTTTAGGGGTGTTTGGAGTTTTTCTTAAACAGATTAAGCATGCTCTTTTATTTTTTCATATTAGCAAAGCTGAAATCAATAATTTCAGGCTGCCTCATGAGAAACAGAAGCAGCAACAGAGCTAAGAACTCCAAGCAATAGCCCAATATTTTTATCTTTTTTTTTTCTCTGAGGAACTAATCTTAGCCATGCTAAGATTAACATTAAAAAAATCTCATTGATTTCCATTGGGTTGAGTCTGTATTCCAGAAACATATATTAAAAAAACGACCACAACAAACAAAACAAACTGGTTTTGCTTCTGTTTCGTAAAATGCTGCAAACATCTTAGCTTTTATTAAATTATAAGAAGCATGTTTTCTGAAAAAACAGTAACATTCAAAGAAAGGAAATGTTACATACACTTGAATAAGCAGAGGGTACTTCTTGGATCTATCAAACTGTGGGGGTAGAAGCATTTTGTACCACAAAGCTAGAAAAGACACATTCAAATTATTTAGTTAACGGTTAAAGTGATTCCTCCAAGCATAACCCAGTTTGGTGCAATAGTATATATGAAAATGAATCAGCACAAACTACATAATGAATGAACTGTGAATCACAGAACTGATGCAAGTAACTGTTCATACTGAGCTGCTGAAGAACAACTTTGAAGAAATAAAGTGCTCACTTTTAATTTAGCTGTGCATAAAATTAATATTTAACATAACCGAGCTCCTCAGTTTTACAGGTGCCTAGAAAACACAACTCATAAGAGTTATTAAGAGTTATTAAGACCACAAGAAATGAGTTTTGGAAACTTTACACTGATCCATATACCACAGAATGTTGTTTGTAAAGTCACTAGTGAAACCCACAGTGTATGCAAGTCACTATAATGTGTAACACATGAACTGCAGTTTACATTCCACATTTTATTACCATCATACTCTAACATTTTACACAATATTTGAAAACTTCAGCAAGAGTGTTGAAGAACTAAACAAAAAGAAGTGCATTGTGAAGCACAGAGATTTATTTTAACTACTATTTTACTGAGAAATACTCTGAGGCTCAGACAAATCGGCTTTTGTAAAACAGAGCAGAACCGGGCCTCTTCTTCCCAACTGGACAGGCTAAGAAGTTTGTTCTACAGAAAGACAATACTTACTATGCAAAATAAAGACAAAACATTAAAATGGCAGGAATAAAAAGAATAATAAAGACGTATAATTCTTACTTATACCATCCACTTGAAGTTTATTAATTTCTTCTTTTGGCAGCTTGATCTCTTGCAAAGCAGACTGCAATTCCCAATTGTCCTCCAATACTCGGAGCTCTAAGTAAAAGAAATGCCTGAATTATTAACTAATCTATTATTAATTCTGTTTCATTAATTGACAATCCTTTATTTTGTGTTATTGGAAAGAAAGGAAATCTGTGAATTTTACAAGAAGAGAAATGAAATCAACTCAGACACTTCTCATCGGGCTTGATCACATTGCTAAACAAAAGCAAGGCACTGGTATTACAGTGCACAAACATGCATTAGATTTTTATAGGATGTACATTTTGCAGTGAAAAATCATTTCACACGTTGCCTCTGAATGTTAGATTCCTAAACGTTATTAAGAAACTCCTTTCTGATGCAGACCACTCATCCCAGTTCTGGAACATGGTGGGAGCTGGAAATGCGAAATCCCATCACGCAGAACACAGTCCTGTAGCTCCTCTTCAGTAACTTCAGTCCAGGCTATGAGACCCTCGGGCAGTGTGATTAAGCACAGAGATGTTTGGGAGTATCTTGTTGCTGGGCTAAAGCAAGAAATTCTGTTTCTTAATGGCAAACCCTTGCTTAACCACTCTACAGTATATTCCTGCACAAAGGTACTAGACTTAACATACACCTGTCCCTGGTAACACATTACTGCACACTTAGTGTACATCTTCTGCTGTTAGTTGTTGGGTTTGGGGTTTCTTTTTAAATCTAAAAAATATTTAAATTTTTTAATTTACTTGATTTAGACAAATTTTACAGTTACTTAATTTAAAAATTACTACTTAAAATTTAGTCATTAGCAGCCTGGACTGTAGAACTATATTTTATGAATTTGCTGATAATTACTTGTTTATTTATGTGTTTTCCTATGAGTAGTGATGGATGAAGAATATTGTACGTAATAGAAACCCATGAATTTAGCTTCACTTTCAAAATGAAAGAACCTTTAAAAACAGCAGGAAGTTTATCTTTGTTAGTTAACCTGTATTTTGTTTATTTGTTTGTTTGTTTTTTAAATGGCAACCATTTCTCATTTCTGGAAATATACGAAAAGACACAAGTACTTCTCTCAGCACATCTTGAGCTAGTGCTCAGGACATGCTAGAAATATAACAACAGAATTTGTTATTTCAAGGTACTCTTAAGAAGTTTTGCAGATTCAAGTGCATTTTTATGGCTGAAAGATCATCCTAGCTTTGGATACTTACCCAAACTCAGCTGAACCCTTTCCATGCTTCCCCTGAAAACTTCTGAAACTTGCCCATTACCAGAAATGAATTGTAGGTATGCTGGAAGGTGCTCCCAAACTGGTGTATGTTAATTTAGCTGCACGCCTCCTACTAAAATTCGTGGGTGATATACTTTCAAAATGCTGCCAACCGCAATGAAAATGGATCTACTAAAAATAGTTTTGTGCCACAGAACAGATTATGAAAGTAAGGGACTGAAAAAGGCCATGAAAAAGTCAAAGAAAAGCCTGAATTTATTTTTATTCCTGAAGAATAATAGCACAGCAGAGGGAGGCATCATGAAATGAGTGGTGAAGATCCATTAATTGAAATTGTTCTCTCCTCCAGAGAGGTTAAGAAATATGTATTTGTGGTTGGGCACTTAGCTGCGTTTCATGCAATGCAGACTCTCCTCAGGAAGTATTAGGGGCACCTGATACACAAGGTCATAACGAAACAGAAAACAATGACATGGAATTAAAGATGAAAAAATCTATACACGAGTTGTATTTAAACCTCTAAAGCTATTTAAATCCTCTGCAAAAGAAAGAACACAGCGTTTTTATAGCACAATTGCAATAGACATTGACCAATCTTTTCCATCTGCAAACATCTTTGAGCGGTTAAAAACTAAGCTGCACCAACTCCTATCCGAGTCAAAATAAAATTATGTTGCAATTCACTGACTTCTACATGAATCACCACTGACTAATTTAGCTTAACAGTACTGTGGCATTTGCCTTCAACATATTTTTTGTGTCTTTTGGTCAGACAACAGTCAGTTAATAGTGGATTATCAATACAGGCTGAACTGTGGAGGACCCTGGCATTAGAACTACCAGTGTGGTTCCACTGATTATTGAGGAAGGGAAGGGGAATGCCAAATCACTGAAGTTTTCCACAGGACCATGACAGTTTTCATAATATTTCAGGACTGAGAGCTTTAAATTGGAGAAGAATTTTTAGGGAAAAACAAAGAGAGAGAAAACTCACTGCAAAGCAATTAATATTTTCATGCTTAACAAATTCTTGCTTGGCCTGGCTGCAAACAGTCCTCACTAACAGTCTGCTTAAAGAATGACAGCCCTCTTGCTGGAGTTTCCATCTTGTATCAATAATTACGCTTTGTCTGAAGCCGTTATTTGAACCGATCGTCTGAAAGAGCTTCTGCTCTTTCCTGACATCCCTACTGACGGCTGAAGAGCAAGTCACTGATCCCAATTCTAATTAGTACAGTACAATAACTCGAACTGCAGACTCTAAATAGCACACTGTTGCCTTTTGTATAGGGTAAGGTTGCTTCCTGAAAAAACCCAGAAAGTCTTGTGTTCATCCAAATGTGAAAACAAATAGTTTAGAAATCACAGGAACATTTTCTACAAAGTTTGACTTGGTATTTGGTAGACAAAGAGTTGCTGGTATTTGTTGCATCTATAGTGTGTAAACAGAAAAAACATCAGGATGCTGTAAAAGTGCTGGATCACCAAGAAAAATAAAGGCATCCGTGTGTTCCTTGATATTTGTATATTACCAATTAGCAAATCTAGAAAGACACTAGATATTTCAATACCAAACAAGATGAAAGGCTTCTTGATCACAATCGTTGCATTAGAGGACCTGTGTAGGGCAGATCAATGAGAAAAACAATTGCTCAGAAAGAGGCAGGATATTTGCAGTACCTCTATCACCGTAGTTCTCAAAAAGAGTAGAAATGGGAATCCCGGGACCTGTCATACGAATGATAAGAAGACAGTTTGTAATTGGAAGCCGGAGTTTGGTGATGGAGCGTGTATTACATTAACATTGGTAACTGACAGGTGTTAAAGAGCTCCAAGGTGATACCCAAATCTGAATCTTCTCCGTTGTATAACTCACTAGTCCCTGCTGCACAAAAAGAAGTAAGACACTGTTTGTACACTGACTTGTACACACACAGGCATTGCTCAGCAAACATAACAGAAGTAACTTTTAGTCTGCTAACAAACTCTGCCTTCCTAGAGATGAAGTGACATCTAGTTAATACCTGAGATGTGATTACATAAGGCGAATGCAGAATTAACAACATGAAACATTCTTCTGAGAACATGTCACATCATATTTGTGAAGGCGAGTGGCTTTCATGTGGTGACGACCTTACTGATTATTTTGCGCAAGAATGATTGAAAGGTGTTATTATTTGCTACATTCGCTTCTCTGCTCAGCGGAAGTTCTAAGGAGCTCTTCGGCTGATACGCTAGTGCAGAATCAGAAGAGCAAACTTTATATGAAATACACAAAAGGAAAACCTTGGGTGTTTTTCTTTCCTTTCTTTAGATTGTGACTTTACTGCTCTTTGATTACAGCAACGGATGAAACCTCAGATGACTGAAATCACCCAACGTATTTCAAAAGAGATGACTTCATTTAACATTTTTGTGTTATGAGTGGTTTCAATTGTCAGACATTTCAATGAATTGAATTTTTCTTTGCTCAGTTATAAAAAATATGTTCTCAGGTAGTAAATATCCAACAGTTTTTGGCTGACACAGGTTTCACATTGCATTTGTCATAGCTAACTTTGATGACATGAATCAGAAATCAGTGTGTGTTCCTAAATCCTGTTCATGCTGCTGGAAGGAAAAAGCATGACTTTGAGGAGCCAGATTAGAATCTGGTTTATATAATGAAGTTTGTGAAAACACAAATTTGTTTTAATTCTAAAAATCCAAAGATTTTTTTTTGAAAAAGAAAGAAAATATAGAGTGAAAATATTCACATTTTCTGAAGTGTCTCCCCAAGGTTTTCAGACATGGAAAAGTTTCTTCCTGGAAATGTCACCTGGTTATTGCGAAATTCCTGTTATTCATCTAGCCAGTGCATGGGATAAACAGCATTATGTACATCTCTGATAAATATGAAGGAATTCTACGCTTGCTCCCATGTTATACCTACCGTAACAGATTAAGGCATAATACTTAGAACGTTCACTGAACCTTGCTGTATAATACTGGCATCTCTCTTTCCTTAAATTGCAAGTAATGCATTGTTTTCTGGCAGGTTTACTTCCAATACTGATTCTAGGAGGAAAGTAAAATAAAGCAATATTTATTTTGCTTCAACTAACTTCACATGTGTCTGCCTCTTATTCTGGAATGTAGGTACTGTACTTTCAGGACATGTCAATTATAAATGTTTTTCCTTTCTACGATTTTTTTTTCCCAAGAGTATATTTAAACTTTAGATGCTACTTTTCCTCAATTCTCAAATATAATCTGAGGTCAAGATTTAGTTAAAATGCTTGTGAAATTACATTTCAAACATCTTGAAATTGATTTATTTTATTGACAAATCCATAACTATCTTCTATCAACCAAATATCATTAAGATAATGTTGATGAAACTTACTTGTAAATATTCCTTCTTCCTGGATAGCCTTCAAATTCATTGCTTGAGTAGAAACTGTAGATTTATTTACATGTTAATAAATAATCCACAAAGTGATGACCTACGAACCAGCATCACGATGAAAAGCCCTCTTGGAAGTTAACTTAGACTTATTGAGATTTCTGTGTGTGATGGAAGAGTAATTAAGCTTATATACCTTTCATTTTAATAGATGACAAACCACATAAATAGGAGTTCTGTCTTGATTTTCATAAGCTATTCCCTCCAGTTACGTAAACTGTATCTATCTATCTATCTAGTAAACTGAATAAGAGACCACAAAAAGAGAAGTAACTCTAAATTCTATGAGGGTTAACCACAAACTAAGCGTTCTAAATTAAATAAAATTACTAAATACAAATTAAGTATATCTAAAGAAGTCTCCCTAAGACGAGTGATTGAAAACAAATAGAAAAACGAGGGCAATTTGCAAACAATCTCCCATAAGCAAACCAAGTTTGCAAACCTGTGCGGTGCCTCTGCATACAAATTTGTTGTGGATGCATTCAGGAACAAAAAAAATAGGCTTAGTTATAATTCGACAAGTTAACAAATGGTGCTGCTTTTACACTCACAACCTGTTCTCTTCATGGTACTTACATGGCATCATTTGTTACTCTGAAAATGTATATTGCCTCCCATTCTCCACTCGTAATTTGGATTGCATTCTCCTGCGAAGCAAGACATATACGTTACTGAATATTGTAGAATTATCTCACAGATTACAGTAGATCAAGGTAGAACACTGCCTGACTTACCACAGAGCCATTGATGTAATGAATATGCTTATAACCATTTTTGTCACTAAAAATTTTGTAGTATGAACTGCCGTCTGATGTAAAATATGGTGTGGAAACAAAGAACTGAAACAATGGAAGAAAAATGGTACATGAGATGTAAGTGAGACTGTCCAAGGTGTTTAGCAGATTATAGTAGACATCGTAAAAGCAAGAAGACTATTTAATGAGTTCACATGGGACAAAGTACTTTGCACAAGTGTTTACCTGTCAGTCTCCCAGTCAGTACAAATTACAATTTCTAACCTATCATATCTGATTTCTTAAGCTGATAATACAGATACCTCGAGGACCTCAATAATGCAAGCCCTTTACTTGTATGTTTGCATATTCTGAGTAGCCTTTCTTTATTTACTAGGTGATCTGCTAAAAATCGGTTTCTGAATAAAGCTCATGTTCATGAATAGCATCAGACTGAAAATCCTGTGGATCACAGAGTAGATCTAATTCCCTGAGCAAATACAGAACTAAGGAAATGGATATCTGAAATTTCCCGTACTATTCCACTAATGTTAAAGAACTGGTTATCCCAGATAAGAACATTCAACTTTTGAATCCTTTCAAGCCATCACCCCTTTAACAAAATTGTCAGTCAAGGAGAAGTTACTGCCACCGTGAGTTTGATTTTCAAAACGTGGACACAGAAGAATGACCTGCAAGCACTTCAAACATAGCACCAAACATTACTTAGTGAGCATGACTTTTGAGTAACACTAACCCAAGTCTGACTGGAACTTGTGACCCCATCGAAATTGTTCTGAAGCCTGCTTCTAATATTCCTAATGCTTGAAATTCCATACAGGCTAAAGCAGGGATTTATGTATATATGCAATTTCTTTAGCTCTAGTATAAATCAGTCATCACAACCTCAAGAGAAGTGGAGGAAAAAGAAAGGGACCAGCGTGAATAACTAATCCTTGTAAGCATGTAGTCTTCAAATAAAAACACACTCTTAAAGGGCAATGTACTGAAAACTGAAACTCTCAGTTCAGTCCACCGAAGAACATTCAGGTGCAAGTGTCAGGTCCCCCATACTGAATTCCACTAACTTCCCAGGCCTGAGGACTAAACATAAGTTCTTGCAATTTCCTCGCAAGTTTCTTTTTACTGTGAGTTCCCAAAGTTAGGAGTTATGTTTTTTTCAAGATAAAGGTTACTGGGTAGAGAAAATTTCTGGTGCTTAGAGTAACTGCAGAGATGTATCAACTGCCCTTCTAAGTGGGGTATCCTACCTTGAAGAAGACAGAAAAAGGTTTTTAAATGCAGAAAGCAAGTAGCCAGATACTACGCCTAGCACAGCATTAAAAGTCTCAATCCTACGGTGCAACAGGTTTAAGGAGTAGTGTTGTATGACTCAGAATGGAGCTTCCCGTTTCAAAACAGTGCTGTGAAGATGCAGAAAGCTGTAGCTTTTCATTAAATCAAAACAGAGTACAAGAAACCTACTCCGCCTGCCCATCCTGTTTGACTCTCTTCTATGTGCTGTTGACTCTGGAAAACAAAATCAAATGTACAGTCTTTGAGATGTTCAAGAATGAGTTTATGGAGATTCAAAATCTTCAAATAAAAAAATCTGTGCCTGCCATAAAAGAGAATTTTAGAATACTTGCTATAAAGGTTCAGGGACTTGGAGGTTGTCCAAGGCAAATATTACTGCATCAATACCATTATTAATACTACTACATTAGTTAAAATATTATTTAGTAACAGCTGTCATCAGAGCTAAATAAAATCTAAAGTAATTGTTTTAAACTTATGTAACATTTTCATGTAACGCAAGAATTAACAACTACTTAATCTCATGAATATTTCAGTACAAAATAAGTAAAATAATTTTAGGAATAATAATATTGAAAATCTGTGTTATATTCTCACATGGTTCATTTCACATATTTCCTTTCACTTCAAAGCTGCGATGTTGATTTCTAACAGTCAATAATGTGACTATGGGGCATATCCTTAAAAATACAAGCCAATTTTAGCTAAGTAAAATGCATAGAAATCAAGGGTCTCCATATTTGATGCTGAGCTTAGACATATCAAAGGGCCTGATTGTCAACACTTTAAAAAAATCTCACAAATAACGTATTTACAAAGAAGAATTAAGGATTCACAAAGATAATGTGGGCAACACAAATCACCCAGATTACCATACCCTGAGACTATAAATTTAGCAGCTCTTCACTTGTATCATTCTTAAAGATGATTTTAAAAAAGACTTATACTAAGCATAAATGGATCAGTACCTCCTGCAGCTAAAGGTGCTTTCACATTTTTATTTTCCTTATAAATCTCCTAGTGCATTTTCAATACTTTCCTAAGACTTCTTCATTGAAGAGTAATATCTTGCTTGTTGGATAAAGCTAGAGATCTAGTATTTACCAATTCTGCATTCAATCAATGCATTTCTTTTTTTATCTTGCAAACTTTTCTTTAGACTGTTCATTTAATGCAGAATTTCTTCATAGTCTAAAATAAATTCAATAAATTTGCTTTCTAAAGAATACGGTTTGCAGCTGTTATCTTCAAGCTAATCCCATTAGCATTCAGAATGTTCCTTTCTAGCTTTCACCTTAGTCCTTTATAAGTGACTTATCTGAGCAAAAGTTGCAGGTACTTGCCACTTAGAAGACTGTTCAGCAGTTTGCAAGGGCTCCACTAGCTATTACCTCACAAGATGGATTTTATTTCCTTTTAATATAAGAAAAATGTGATGCACGGTTTTATATCTGGATCCTAAATTTATTTTTCTTTCTTTAAATTAAGGCCGAGATCTTGAAGACGTAGTACATTAAGGACAGATTTGACTTTTCTTATACAAGTAGTCCCACTGACTTCTATGGGATTTTTCTGTGTATTGAAGCATAATTAGAGAACTGGCATTTTTATAGGAAATCCCAATTTCACAAACACGGGCCTAGCTTTTACTCACATGAATAGTTCCACTGAAGTAATTTTGGTTTCTGTGGTCTATTCACATGAGCAAGATTTGAACATGTGAACATTTCGACACTTTAGGAACATCTTGTAGATTATACTTTGTTATTATTTTCAACCACATAAAGCCTAGCACATTTATTATACATTAGAGCCTCGATTTAAGCTGAAATCAACAAGAGAACTATTTTTGCCAATGGAAACGTACAGAGATATACTTTCTAACTGCAAATAGAGCTAATGCAGCACTCCCATCTGTTCACACTCCTTCAATTGGCCATTTGTGCTCACTTTAATGTGATAAAAGCATTGTATCACTGTATAAATATAGAATTATAGAAACATCAGTAGTGGCTCCATAAATAAGGTTTCATGGAGAAATGCAATTAAACAAGGATCATGAACACAGTCCTGCAAGATGTTAATTGTTCTGGTCTGGTTCCAGCAAAGCAATTAAGCACATGCTTAATTTTAAACACATAACTAGACCTACTGAAATAAATAAAACTCCTTACATGCTTAAAGTTAAGCTTGTGGGAAAGTACTTTTGATATTGTTGTAGAATCTTAGAACCCTTGATGTTTTTTCCCGTACGTTAAAATATTTAGTTATTAAAATGTAAGTTATTTGGAGGTGAGATAGTTATTCAGTGTTAACGTACTTATAAAGTGGAATAATTTCTTAGGAAACATATCAAATACTGCAGTAAGAAATTAAGATATTTCTCTGTTGAAAATTATTTCAATGATAAAGTTTTTGAAAGATTAGGATCTTAACTTCCTTTTAAATTTGGAACAATTGTAATGTAATAGAGGCATACAAATTATTTTCAGCTTGGAAAGACTGTGTCAATAACCTCTGAATTTACAACCTATCAGTTATACAGAACACTTTTATAAGTATTCTTGCCTTTTATTTCCCACTAGTTCACAGCTTCAGCCTAATGCTAGTTTTTATAGGCGTTCTCTACCATAAACTGTAAAAATGAGACATGTAAACAGGTTCACTACTAAAAGACAATAAATGAGACTTCCGGACTAGAGTTCCTGAAATTCAGGGTTATCCTTTCCTTCAGGATCTACATGAATTTATTGGTGTCTACAGTCTTCAGGCTTTACAAGGTCTTTCAAATATTTTTTTTCCAGAAAGTCTTCTGCATGTACAGTCTCTAACTATTTACCTGTAGGTATAGACAGCGAGGCCACACAAGCTGTCCTTCTGCTCAGCAGAGCACGGCTTTCCCTCCCAGCTCTATACAATGACATATTTAAACAAAATTCAGAGCTACTGTTGCAATTAGCCTGAAGTTTTCTTTTCAGATCTGAAAAAGGGATTTTGGTTCTGAAAACTTGCCTGCTTTCTCCAGCTGTACGATCTGAGAGTACAAAAGAATTTCTCCCTGTTGAAAACCTGCTTAACTTTTTATCTGTATATTCTTTCAACTAATTTAACATTTTTCATAAGGGACACGATTTAGTCTGACTTAGTATAAAATTTCAAAGTAGTATAATATGATTTTCTTTAAAAAATAATAAAGATCCTATACAATTCTACTTTTGAAGATGAGGAAGCAAGAAGGACCTAAATAACACTAATTATAGCCGCTCAGTAACATGCTTTTTATTTTTGTTGCTTTTGTTGTTATTTAATCCCTGTTAAAAATATTTTGATGATTTTATTTCTTGTTGGTGGACTTAAATTTTTTTCACCGCTCCTCCAGCAATTAAAATATTGAAAAAAGTATCACTAGTAGCTAGAAGATGAATGTGATGAAAAACTGGAAAATAAAATTATGGCAGGCACAGAACTATTTTCTAAAAGAATTCAGGGCAAGATTAAATATACTTCTGGAACTCAGAGCAACCTGTGCATGACCAGTAGCTGTCAAATTAGGTATGCAGATGGGATTAGCAAATGCTAATTTCAGCAATGTTAAATTTGTATTTCCAACTTTATTACCTCTGGACACTCCCAAGTATTTGAATTTTCTTTGAAGTCACAAATAGCTAAGACTGAAAGATTCTGGATTCTCCTTAGCCACTGCACGCAGATTCGACTATCCGTTACCCAAGTAAGCCAAGTAAAATAGTGATCGCTGAAAAAGGAAACAAAAAAGGAGAGAAAGGGTGGTTATTAAAGAACAGGGATATAGAAGCATTGCTACAGTTCGTACCCCCCGTATTGCTCTGTGGAAGAGAATAACGAAGCTTCCGCTGTCTAACGTTGGTGGGGTTATTTTTTGTTTGGTTGTTTTTTGGTGTTTTTTTTTGGGTAACAACGTATTATTGTTTAGATTGGAGACTTAGACTAGATATTAGGAAAAAAATCTTCAGCAAAACAGTTGTTTAAACCTTGGAACAGGCTGCGCAGGGAAGTGTTTGAGTCGCCGTCCCTGGAGCTATTTAAAAGACATGTAGATGTGGCGCTTAGAGACATGGCTTAGTGGTGGAGCTGGCATTGCTGGGTTAATAGATGGACTTGATCTTAAGGGTCTTTTCCAACCTAAATGATTCTATCATTCTGTGATCATATGGACAGACAGAATCAAAATACAAAATACAGCATTTCTGGTTAGTTTCTGATCTATCTAGGAGATGAGCAGGGCACTCCTCTGCTAGAAACAGAAAACAACTCAGACGTTCAAGCCTTTAAAATAAATAAAAATCTTTTTAAAAAACAGAGAAGACACATTTGATGGCACAGTACCTTGAGGATAGGACTTCAGGAACTGGCACCTCTTTAGGACCAAACACTTCAGCGTAAATAGTGTCTACAACAAACACTCTAACAGTAGGATTTTTGGCCCCAGCCTTCAAAGAAAATGTATCAGGTTATTGAAATCAGGCTCTGAACAGTTTGGACAGAGGCAAATTAAAAGACTTTTTTCCATGAAAGGATATAGGTTATAAAATGTGTATTCAGTTGAGTATAATACTGCAAATGTGGCCTTATAAGATCTTGGAGTGACATTACAGCTGTAGTACATTACTTAACTTTGCACCATTTCATATATAAAGGAGAAAACCTTTCAAACAGTCAAATTTAATGCCTTTCTATACAGAAAATACGCTTGCAACACACACTACGCTTACTTTGGCATAAAACTCCAGGAGTATATTCGCATGACTGCAAGTGCTCTTTGACATCCCAGCTGTGAAATAAAACAGTTTAGCTTAAACTGATTTCAGGCTTGCTTATTTGTTGCATACATGATTAGTTTTTTAATTCTCCTCCATGTGTGGTCTAAACCATCCACTTTACTTTAGAAATGTAACCCAGCTGACAGGTGAGTAACTTCTAAAGATATATTAACATGATCACTTGCAATCATATAAACATGACAAGAGTCAGAAGAGCTTTCTGATACGTGCCGAAGAAATGCCAGCCCCAAACCCTCTTGCCTTAGATCTCTGGCACTTGAAAGCAGTCAAAATCCAAAGCCCCTTGCGATCAAAAAGCACTATGAAGTGTGCAAATAAGCTAAAGCTGTCACAGTCTTTATTTTTCAAAATTAAAAATGTCTCAGAATTCATTTACTGTAATGAAAAATAACAAACTGCATAGTTAACACATCACAATAAGTAAATCGAATTGAATAAAGCAAGGCTGGATCATACAAGCATGCACTTCTGCACATGCTTTTACTCCCATGAGTAATTCCATTTATTTCACTCATGTTCTTAAATATCTACAGTTTTGAATGTACTTATATCTTCTCGGAACTTGGATTTAATCACTGTAATACGACCATTTTTTAAGCACAGCCAATTTTATAATTGTCATAACCCATTTCTCAAGAGAAAGTAAGTGAAAAGAATGAGAAAACATACCTTTGGGTATGGGATAATTATTTTTCTAGGATATTGATCCTCACCAAAATATGAATATTCAATAACTGGTATGTCAGAATCATTAAATTGTACGTATGCTAAATATTTTCCACTCGGAGACCACCACAGTGCGTATTTTGTTGCTAGCATTTCCTCTGAAGAAAAAAAACACTCATAGTAGTTTACCACTGTAATTTATGTATCTTCTATTTTATTTTAGCATTCGATTATCAGCAACCTAGGCATGTAAACAGAGTTATAATACATAAATAACACCAAACATATTGCCATACATCTCAATTCTGAAAGGCCTTAAGAACTCTAAAAACAGGCACACAGATCCCATTTAACACACCTGAGTTTTTCCTGTGTTTATTTTGTGTTTATTTTTTATGCACTGAAGTGCCAAATTTTCTCCAAAATGAAAAGTTCCATTAAAGCTTAATTCCCAACCACTACCTGTGCACCAGAAGGAAGCCCAGTCTGTAAAGTAACAAAAGACTCAGGATTTTGGTTACACACTATGAACAAAAAATGCAGTCATTGTATGACAAATAAAAGTAACATCATCATAGATATTTCTGAATAGATTCTGTAAACCAGGTAATCTAAACAAAGCATTTAACATGTTAGTTGTTGCTCTTTAATTTACTTACCCTCATAGACCCAGTCAGGAATCCCATTAAATATTTCATTCTGTTTTCCATCACTAGTTATTTTAATTGGAGCCTCTCTTGGACTTCTTTTCAAATAGATATTATTCTCATATACATATACCTAAAGACCAGAAAATATTTCTTATAAGTATAGACATCAATAATGAGGGTTAGAGTAAGGTCTTCTGCAGTCAATGCTCTTACAGTATATCAACAAGAAAAAATAATGAATACAAAGGGGGAAATAAAAACCATACTAAAAGCCCTTGCAAATTCTGCAAGGGTAGGTACCTCCATAAAGAATTATACATTGAAGGCCAAAGTCTATGTTCAGCTATGTCAGAACAAGTCCTGAACGACTCCTTTGATTTTAAGAAACTTTAGAGTTGCTTTGGTGTGGGAAATCATGAAAAAAAAAAATTGAAACTCATTCAAATTGCTGTTTTTTATAAGACACCCTTCCAAAAGCAGAAGATAAAAAAAAA